TGCTTCCACTGCCCTCTGTGATTGACCATTCCTGGTTGAATGGATAGGTCAACAGCTCAACATTCATTGAATCACAGCTATACCTGGTGTCCACCCCCATCCAGTACTGCCCCACTTCCATACATAATCTGTGAAATCTGCTTGTTTGTTTATCAGATACAATTTATGGAAAGTTGCACCAGAACAGAATAAACTATATAAAACGGAAGATTCATACATCAGTCAGATCTATTATACACTTTGATTACACAGCATGTAATAAACAAATAAAGTAGATTGTAGATTGTCACATAGGCAGGATTCCTGAGCTGTTGATACTATCTATCAGTAATTATACAAAACACTGCTGGCTGGTGATAATAGAAGATGGTTGTGCAGTGGACACCATCCCCTAGCATTCTCCTTACATGGTTATGGAAGCACACATTCTTACATACATACAGGCTTACCCACACTCTGACGTATATACGTAGACACCCATACACGCACACAAACATACCCACATTCTCCCGTAGTTACACATAGGTATATCCACACCCTAATATACGTATACACAGATTTACCCATACTCTTTAATGTAATCTTCTACAAATACTGTTCATGATGTATAGGGGATACATCATGAACAGTATTTGTAGAAGACAAAATAAAGATGAATTTATAGCACCATCTAGTGACCACAAATATAAACTACAGAAAAGTTTCCAAAAGGTGGAAGGAAAGGTGGAGACGATGCTGCCCTGCTCTGTCCTGTTTAGTAAATAAAGGAAACATGCAGTCTAAAACTGATGGGAGTACACACACTGTGCTCTGGACCTGGAATAGTCATTAGTCATGGCGTCTTACCTATGACACACATGCCCTGGCAGCACTTGACTCATTGAGCAACTATGCATGCACCACATTGTAACGTTAATACTCAATACTCAAGAGTGAAAACCAACAGAACAAATAGAGATAGATAGAAAGTCCCTAAACCGGTCCTTAGAATGGCTGGATAAAATAGAAACTACAAGAAATGCCAGAAACAAGCCAAGGTCAAGGAAAGCCAGAAATACACAACAGCGAGGAACGTAGCCAAGTCAGGGAAATCAGAAATAAGGATAGTCAAGAGCAAGCCAGGTCTAAACCAAAGAACTATCAAAAGCATACAGGAACGCGCTGAGGGGACACAAGGCACACTAGGAACCACAACAGGGCACTGATTTGGTGGCTGACTGGGATTTTATACAATAACCACGCCCCCAAAAGGTACGTGTGCATTGAGCGCTCTTGTTTAGAGCTCTTCCGACCTCATGGCGCTGGTATGCATGCGTTGCCTCCTTAAAAGGGGTGGGCGCATAGCAGCTGGTGGCCTGATGCTTTATGCATCCTTTCCCGGCGTGGGAGCGGCGGTCCGACCGATCCCGATGTTGGCAGATCGGTGGACCGATGAGGTAAGTGGCTTGAGGCTTACATTACCCCCCCTCTTAGAACTGCCCACTGGGCGGGAACCACCTGGATGATCGGGAAAGCGAGAATAGAAGGCCCGGAGAAGACGAGGAGCATGGACATCATCAACCCCAACCCAAGACCTCTCTAAAGGACCATAACCATTCCAATGAATTAAGTATTGAAGGACTTCCCTGGAGAGACGGGAATCCACAATAGACTGGACCTTGTATTCATCTTGCTCTTCCACCACAACAGGAGAAAGGGTCTTGTGAACTTATTGCAAGAAAGGGGTTTCAATAATTAAACATGAAAGGTATTAGAGATACGCAAAGCAGAGGGTAGTTGTAACCTGTACGAAACTGGGGTCACATGTCTCAGTATAACGAGGAGTCAGTTTCTTGGAAGGCACTTTTAAGTTGATATTCTTGGTACTGAGCCAAACCCTATCACCCACTTGATAAGTCGGAGCTGTTTGTCGGTGTCTGTCTGCGTATTTTTTCTGCAAGGCAACTTTATGAGCCAGGATATGTTAGGCCTGCTCCCATGTGGCCCTAGGTCACCCAAATATTCCTCTACAGCTGGTACCTCCAATGAAGGAAAGACAGCTGGAAGAACAGAAGGATGGAAGCCATAATTGAGGAAAAAAGGACTGCGGCTCGTGGACTCTCCTTAGGTACAATTGTGAGCAAATTCAGCCCAGGTAGGCAGTGTCGCCCAGTTATCCTGGTTGTTAGAGATAAAACATTGTAGGTACTGTTCCAAGGATTAGTTAGTCCTCTCAACAGCACCGTTAGATTGAGAGTGATAGGCTGAAGAATGACCACTTGGTTAGTAAATGCCTTCCAGAATTGAGAGACAAATTGAGGACCACTATCGGACACTATCTCTTCGGGTATGCCATGTAAGCAGAATATTTCTCCAGCAAAGATATTCACTAATTCGATAGACGAGGGAAGCTTAGGCAAGGACACAAAATGTGCCATCTTGGTAAATCTATCCGTGACAGTTAAGACAACGGTATAGCCCTCCGATTTAGGTAAATCCATTATAAAATAAATGGATATGCTAGACCAGGGTTTTTTAGGTATGTCCAAAGGTTGTAACAGACTGCAGGGTAAGACATGCGGAGTTTTAGATCAGGCACATACGTGACAAGTTTGCATTTATACCTTCACATCCCGCCTAAAAGAAGGCCACCAAAACTGAGCAGCAATTAGATCACTGGTCTTCTTGGCCAGCGGTCTTGTTATCGTGGCATAAGTCTAGGACCTCTCTACGGAATTCAGAAGGGACGAACAGCCTATCCTGTGGAGTCTGACTAGGTGCCAAGATTTGTACATCTTTTAAAGACCTAATGAGATCTGAACCAATGTTAAGTTGGGTTACTGCTATAATCTTGTTTTTAGGGATAATAGGATCTACTTCTTCCACTGTGGGAATTGTAGGTTTGAATTGACAAGATAATGCGTCTGCTTTGGTATTGTTGGTACCTGGTCTATAAGTAAGTACAAATTTAAAACGTGAGAATAACAAAGACCACGTGCCTGTCTAGCTGTTCGTCTCTTGGCCTCACTCATGTAGGATAAGTTTTAATGATCTGTCAGGAACATAACATGGATGGGTGAGCCCTCTAGCAAATGGCGCCATTCTTTGAGGGCCAGTACAATTGCTAAGAGTTCCCTATCTCCTATCTCATAATTCTTCTCTGTTTTAGAAAGATTCTTAGAAAAGATTCTTATCGGATGCATCTTCCTCCAAAAGAAAAGGGAGTGATGGAACTGGATGGACTAGGGTAGGTGCTGAAGCGAATGCAACCTTCAGGATGTCAAGGGCAGTAAGTGCTTCCGGAGTCCATACCTGATTAGATTTGCCTTTTTTTGTCATATTTGAGATAAGCGACATATGGAGGAAAACCCTTTTATAAACCTCCTATAGTAGTTAGAAAACCCTATGAAATGTTGGATGGCTTTTAACCCTGTGGGTAAGGGCCATTTGTGGATGGCATCTAGTTTTTTGGGGTCCATTTTGAAACTGGACTCAGAGATGATATACCCCAGAAAATGCACCCTTTCCAGATCGAATAAACACTTCTCTAATTTACAGTACAAGACATTGTTCAACAATTTATGTAAGACTTTTCTCACATGCATATGATGGGTGTCTATATCTGGGGGAAAAATTAGAATATCGTCAAGGTATTCGGTAACAAATTCCTGCAGGTATTCTCTTAATACATTGTTTATCAGATCCTAGAAGACGGCTGGGGCATTACAAAGTCCAAAAGGCATGACTGTGTATTCATAATGCCCATACCTGGTATTAAAAGCCATCTTCCATTCATGTCCTTCTTTAATCCTCACCAAATTATATGCACCTCGTAAGTCTAATTTGGTAAAGATCCTGGAACTCTTCAACTGGTCAAATAATTCTGTGATCAAGGGAATGGGATAGACATTACGTACGGCATAGGCGTGCACATGGTGTGTGCCGGGTGTGCCTGGGCACACCCTAATCCCCGTGGCACACCTATGGTTTGAGTCCTGCAGGAACAGCGTTCCTGCACTTTTTTTTGAGCAGGAACGCTGTTCCTGCAGGCACTCAGCGCCCCCTGTCTCACCTCTTGCCCCTGTCATGGGGAGGGCAAGAGGTGATGGATACCCCCCTCTCTGTATCTCAGCCGCGGGGAGGGAGCTGTCTGCTCTCTGCTCCCTCTCGCTGCGCGCTGATGCCGGGAGCCGGAGAGGGAGCAGAGAGCAGACAGCTCCCTCGCCGCGGCTGATATGCAGAGAGGTGCCCGCCCCACTGGACCCCAGGGAAAAGTCCACGCCAGCACTCCAGGTAGGGAGGCTGGGTGGACATTGTATTATTAAAATATAATAATTTGTATGTGTGTGTGTGTGTCTGTGAGTGTATGTGTGTGTGTCTGTCTGTGAGTGTGTGTCTGTGAATGTATGTGTGAGTGTGTGTCTGTGAATGTGTGTGTGTGTCTGTGAGTGTATGTGTGTGTGTGTGTCTGTGAATGTGTGTGTGTCTGTGAATGTGTGTGTCTGTGAGTGTGTGTGTCTGTGAGTGTGTGTGTGTACGCCGCATATATATATATATATATGCACACACACGTGTATATTATTTTTTGGGGGGGGTGGGAATCCCGATCTCCCCTGTCGGCTCACACAAGGATTTACTAATCTGCCCCCACCTCCACAATCCCTCCAAACATACAGCACCTACACACATACAGCTCACACACACACAGTACACTAACCGCACCCTCACAAACACACACAGCACCTTTAAAAGAAACACAACACCCTCACACACAGCACACTAACAGCACCCTCACAAACACATACACACAAACAGCACCCTCACAAAACACACACACACAAACAGCACCCTCACAAATACACGACACTCACACAAACAGCACCCTCACAGGACAAACACACACAAACAAACACCCTCACACACAAACAGCACAGTCACAAACACACACACACAAACACCCTCACATCACACTAGCAGCACCCTCACACACACATCACACTAACAGCACACAGCACCCTCACTCAGCACACACAGCAGTGTGTGTGTGTGTGTGTGTATATATATATATATATATATATATATATATATATATATATATATATATACACACACACACACACACACACACACACACGCGGCGTGTGTTTGTGCTTTAGGGTGCACACCCTAATGCAATAGGCTGCGCACACTAATGCAATAGTGACGCCTATGATGTATGGTGATTTTGTTCAAACACCTGTAATCTATACATGGCCTGAGATCACCCTCCTTCTTCGAAACAAAAAAGAACCCCGCTCCAGCAGGAGAAGAAGACCTTCTGATAAACCCTTTCTCTAGGTTCTCCCGAATGTACTCCTCCAATATCTGATTCTCTTTGAGAGAGAGAGGGTAAACAGTGCCTCTCGGTGGCATAGTCCCTGGCAACAGTTCAATAGGACAGTAATACGAACGATGCGGTGGTAACTCATCTGCTTTCTTTTCGTCAAATACCTCTTTCAAGTCTTGATAGACCTTGGGCACATCTGTGGATAATGGAGGTAAGACAGGCACATTTATGAGACCCATGGATCTGATCCTTCTGTGCAAGAAGAACCCCATTTAACAACCTCTCCTGACTCCCAATCTATCTGTGGATTATGTTTATATAACCATGGATACTCAAATACTACAGGAAAGGATGGGGAGGAAATAACTTGCAGAACGACAAGCTCCTTATGAAGAGCCCCAACTATCATAAGGACCAGAATAGATTCCCTAGTAATGGTGGGCTCCTCAAGAGGTCTACCATCTATGGCCAAGGGTGTTGTTCTGTCTCGGAGACGGACAGCATATTTCTCAACAAAGAATCTATCTATGAAGTTCTCTGCTGCCCCAGAGTCTATAAGGGCATGTGAATGGATAACCTTACCCTCCCATTATAAGGTGATGGGTAGTAAAAGCCTTTTTTCATGTATATGTATGGAGGACTCATTAAGTACACCCAAGGCCAGTCCTCCATAGGAACTTAGGCGCTGAAGTTTCCCGGCCTTTCTGGACATGACAAACGAAGATGTCCCCTCTTACCGCAGTACATACACAACCCTTCTCTCCTTCTATGTTGACCCTCTTCCTCAGACAACCTTGTCATACCTAATTGCATGGGTTCTGGGATAGCGACCGTCATAGACTCAGAGGGGAAAGTAGGAGCAAGTCTGATAGCTGGTCTTAGAGGCCTTTCTGGTGTTTTGCTAGTGTCTAAGCCTTTCCTCTATGTAGCCAAGATAAGTAATGAGCTTCTCTATCCCTAGTGGCTACCTCATCTAATATAGTATCGGATAGTCCATTAAGGAACACATCCACAAATGCCTGGTTGTTCCAAAGGACTTCTGATGCCAGTGAATGGAAGTCCAAAGCATAATCCATGAGGGAACGATTTCCCTGTCTTAATCGCAATAGAGCCCTAGCCACATTGGCTTTCCTGCCTGGTGGATCAAAAGCTCTCCTGAAAGCTGCTAGGAACTGAGGATAGTCAAAAACTAACGAGCTGTTGTTCTCCCAGAGCGGATTTGCCCAATTAAGGACTCTATCAGTGAGCAGGGTAATGATAAAGCCTATTTTGGCCCTGCCAGTAGGGTACACTCTGGGACATAATTCAAACATTATGCTAACCTGGTTAAGAAAGCCCCTACATTTTGATAGATCCCCATTATAACATATGGGTTGACTGGGATTAGAAGTATTGCTGAGGGTAGAAGAGTCCGCACCAACGGGTACAGGGCTAAGAGAATGGGTTGGCGGGTCATTAGATCGATTAATCAGGGTTTGTATGGCCTGGGCGAAGTGATCCATACAGTGGTCCATACCATCAAGCCTAGCGTCCTGAGCCATTGCCTGGGGATTAACACCTGCAGGTTCCATTGGCCCTGTTGTAATGTAATGCTAATACTCAATATGCAGAGTGAAAACCACCAGAACAAATAGAGACAGAAAGTCCCTAAACCGGTCCTTAGAATGGCTGGATAAAATAAAAACTACAAGAAATGCCAGAAACAAGCCAAGGTAAAGGGAAGCCAGAAATATAATAGCGAGGAACGTAGCAGAGTCAGGGAAATCAGAAATAAGAATAGTCAAGAGCAAGCCTTGTCAAAACCAAAGAACTATCAAAAGGATACAGGAACGCTCTGGGGGGACACTAGGGACACAAGGTACACTAGGAACCACAACAGGGCACTGATTTGGGGAAGACTGGACTTTTATATGATTGGGTTCGTGATTATCATAACCACACCCCCAAAAGGAATGTGTGCATTGAGCTCTCTTGTTTAGAGGGTGGGCGCAGAGCGGCCGGCGTCCCCGATGCTTAATGCATCCTTTACCTGCGTGGGAGCGGTGGTCCGACTGATCCCGATGTCAGCAGATCGGTGGACCGATAAGGTAAGTGGCTTGAGGCTTACACACATGTCCCACATGCTTCTCTATGAGAAGTATTGAATTGGTCCAAAATAATCCATCAGGATAAGTTCACCATGGACAGAGCAACTGCCAAGAGGTGGCTGTTATGGATCTTGATTAAACGTGAGTCTAAATGCTTTTTGTCTTTTTATTTACTTTGAAACGGGAAAGGGGGGAATGATGACTATAAAAATAAATAAAAGAACACTCTTAGATTAAAAATATATATATATTTATTTTCAAACTTAGAATGTTCCTTTAAGTTACTTGCTGAGTATGAGGATGTTTCATATTGTGGATTGCCAGATCAGCATGTAAACTGAGCCTGATTTGGGCTTCCTTACATTTGATTTATCAATCCATAATAGATACTCACACACAACCTAGTTGCCAGACACCTGCTTTGGACCATATACTTCCACCTCTAACAGGCAGCTGAAAGCTGCTTATACTACTCCTATCTAGCTTATATATTTTCTGATCTGGTGAGTTAATACATTGTGGTGGATACCACCTTTATGAACATCAGAGAAGGACATACATATAATAAAAGTATGGAAGGCAGGTTTCAGCCACATAGCAGAGATAGCAGTAAGTTATAATAAATATATAAATGAAGATAAAAGATCCAGCCATACTATGGGCAACATAAAGTCCCAGTATTTCTGGACTGAGCCTCCCAATGAATATCTCACACATCTAGTCTAAGTCTGTCGCAATGAGATGATACAAGATTCAAACATTAGATTTGGAACTTAGTTGAGCCTCAGAACAATACTTTAGGCTAACAATTTGAGGTCTCGTATTGTCTCTTTGTAACAGGCAGCAAAGAGTAAAGTGAGTCTTGAGTAAAAATAAAATAAGAAGAAACAACACTTACCTTGAGAGGGGGCTGCTGTTTGTCTGTCTGCAGATCTGTTGTTTTTTTACTTTTAGGATGGCTTCTTCTATCCACAGCTCTTTCTGTAAACCTCACACCCTGATGTTACGAGGCATTATTGTCCCCTGAACAGAGGCCAATAGTATGACACTATTTAATGGGCAATAGACTCAGATACCCAAATGGCAACTGATTGGTAGGCCTCTGAAATTCCTTCTTAAAAGAGACTAAGCATGTGCAAAATGTGCTGAAAAAGGACAGATTTCACAAATAATATTTTTACAAGCCTAGTTGTTTTCATCAAAACGTCACCAGGTGGTTACTAAAAAGTGGGGAAGGGCACTACAAAACTTTAATCAATACAAAATTACAGACACAAATGTGCTTTGGTGTCTGTTTCTTTCTGGCTATCATGTTGAACAGTTGCATGGCAAGTGAGCTTCTCAGAGATTTTTTGAGTTTGGTGGATATTCAACAGATTTTTCCCTTTTACCCAAACAAATTAATTGCGAGATTATTGCTGTAGTGAGCAAAGTGGCTGATCCCATACCTTGCAACAGATTTATCTAGTTGTGGATTTTCTCCTCGGGTATCCCACTTCCCCTCTCCCACACTTTGCCCCCACCGCAAGGCTGCCACTAGTTTTGTTGACGGACTGCGTATCTTAACAGAGGCACAGGTTTGCAACTAGAGCAACCTGTATTTCTCCTGAGGTTACCTGTGGGTTTTCCTTTGTATCCTGAACAATTCTTCTGGCAGTTGTAGCTGAAATCTTTTTTGGTCCATCTGACCTTGGCTTGGTATCAAGGGTACCCAATATGTGGGTAAGACTTCTCGACAATTAAAAATTAGAATTAGCGAACACTTAAGAAATATAAAGAGAAGTTTTCCCAACCACAGTGTGTCTAAACATTTCCACGACCATCATAACTCAGATCCTAAATATCTGAGCTTTTGTGGAATTGAGAAAATAAAGAGAAATTGGAGAGGTGGAGATACAGCTAAGACTCTTAGCATGAAAGAATCCAAATGGATCTTTGATTTGTGCACTTTAACTCCGAAAGGTCTTAATATTGATTTTGAGATTAATAACATTTTATAAATAATAAAAAGATTCTTTTGCATATATGGGATTTTTAAAAGAATTTAAAAAAAAAAGATTTTTAAAATAACTTTTTATTTAATTTAAAAGTTTTTCTATATATATTTTCTATATATATATTTATATATTTTAGTTATATTAACGATAATTTTTTATACTTATTATTTTTTAAGTTTTTACAAGATATATCTTTAATTGTAATTCCTCTTTTATAAAATATGTATTGGTCTCTAATTTATATCCTCTTTGGGATTTTTTCTTGAATGTGATTATGGGTACTTTTCTCTTTATTGCACACCTTTTTGCACTTATTTAATTGGGTATTGATATTTTTATGTAATTATATTGTTAAGTTCTTTTTCTCTCCTTTTTTATCTTACTGCATATAATATGGGACTTTGGTGTGCCATGTTTCTAAATGGCACCTTTTGCCTCTGTTGGACCATGAGAGACTATGATATATGGACAACCTCAAGTAAGGGAGGAAGTTTGGGACATTTCTTCAATGATTCAGCGAAACGGGAAGTGACGCGACGGATCAAAGATCACGTGACCGGAAGTGACGCGACGAACTGTATGCAGCGGTTTTATATATATTCCCCGAACAGCACAGACATCAACAGGCCATTTTCTTGCCTTTGTTGCCTGTGCTGCCTGTGCTAAGTAGGTATAGCATGTATGGAAGATATTTATGTACTGTGTATTTCCTTTTTTGTTATGTGGAAGGTCTTATAC